CCTGGAAAGGGCTAGCCTCCAACTAGTTCGAATTAAGTGACTACACAGCCCTTAATTCGAACTACTTAATTCGAACTAGGAGTTACTCCTCATAGAATGAGGTTTACCTAGTTCGAATTAAGTGCTCTGCTATTTTGAATTAAATTCAAAATAGCGGTTTGCATGTGTAGCCCCCATTAAAGTTAATTCAAACTAACGGCTGTTAGTTTGAATTAACTTTGTAGTGTAGACATACCCTTTTATATTACTCCTTTTTTTTTTAGATCATGTTAGTGTTAGTATATAGCCACGTAAATGATAAACATTTTGTTATCTAGGTCTAAAGCATTTGTCAGACTATCATTTCTTCCCAAAAAGACTGACTTTTCTTTAGCACAATGTTTACTGCAAATTAAATTTTATACAGAAGCCCCATACATTCTAGGTTGGACTTGGCTGGTTGTTGGGCATCATAGGGTATGTCTACACTACCACCCTAGTTCGAACTAGGGTGGTAATGTAGGCAACTGGAGTTGCAAATGAAGCCCGGGAAATTCAAATCCTGGGCTTCATTTGCAACTCCAGTTGCCTACATTACCACCCTAGTTCGAACTAGGGTGGTAATGTAGGCAACTGGAGTTGCAAATGAAGCCCGGGAAATTCAAATCCTGGGCTTCATTTGCAACTCCAGTTGCCTACATTACCACCCTAGTTCGAACTAGGGTGGTAGTGTAGACATACCCATAGGGACCTGACCGGTCCCAAATGAGAGAATTTGCTGGAAGGGGAGGTCTCCTGCCAGTAGCCCCCAAGCCTATCATCTGCTGCAGGCAAGCTGCCCCAACAAGCAACCCTGCCTCACCTTCCCGTTCAACCTGGCTGGACTGCTTGCCCAGCTGTTGCCAGCTCCCTGGGTGGCACAGGCACGGATCTCGCAGCAGGGCTCTGGTCCCACACAGCTGGGATCAGCCATGGGACTAGGACACTGGCCCTGTGCAGCTGGGGGAAGCCATGGGGCTAGGTCTCTGATCCTGACCCCATGCAGCTGGGAGAAGCTGTGGGGCTCTGGCCCCAGCACTGCACTCTGGGGTGCCACGGGGACTCTAGCCCTGCACTGACGTGTGTGGAGGTCCAGACCCAGACCCATGCTCCCAGGGGCTGCTGGAGGCTGCTTCACTGCTCTGGCCTCAGTCCGGTGCTGCCCCCAGATGGGCTGCCAATCTTGGTGCCCTGCCCAGCTGGCCCTCCTGCCCTTAGGCTCCCACTGAACCACAGAGTGCCAGATTTTGGAGGTGCAACCTGTACATGTTTATCTGCTGGTACCATAAAAATATATGAAAATGTAATTTGCAAGAATCTTTCCAGATCATCCACCTGTAAAAAACTGTCACACTTGTAAAATTCCATTATATCAATTTGGGTTTCAATTATGTCCCCCATTCTCTCTTTTTCTAATCACTAAATTTGTTATCTCTTTTTATGAAAGTAGAATTGTTCACTCCTTTGTATTACTGTGCTGTTGCATAAGGACAGAATTACACTCAATCTCCATGTAGAAAACATTATCCCCGTCTGCTTTAGTATGATATGTAGGTCAAAACTCATGAATTGTAAAAATCTGAACTGCAGGTAACAAGAATTGTTAGTAAAATATTTTAAATATGGCTGAATAATTTTTATATTAAAGACAGATGGACAGGTGCTATTTTTAAATGTTTTATATTTCAAACTACAAAGAACAAAGTAAAAGTATTCTACATCATCCCTTGTTTCAGCACAAACAAGCTACCTTCAATTTTAGGAATAGGCATGTCTGTTTGAGAGGAATAATGACATTTACCAAATAGCCTTGCCCATTAAATCTCATCACATAGATTAAGTTAAATTTTCCACACACACAAGATAAGATTAGTGACTACACTCCCATTCTTTCCTGATTTTGAACCTGAGGCCACAAAAGACAAAGCTCAGACTGTTTAATTGTCCCAGGTAGAAAAGAATGTAATGTAAATTTGTAGCCATCTGTACATTAAGGCTAAGACTTCCTATTAAGATAACACTTCCAATTATTCCCATTTCCAAGTTTATAACTTTGCCACACTTTAACTGTTTAGACTGACATTTTCCATGCATCTTCTTATCATTATTTTAAAAGGTCAAATATTGAATTCATATCAAAGTCCATTCAATTTTGCTGACACATTCAAAACAGTTAATCTCAAAAATTTTGGACTGTCACTAAATACAAGAAGTGAAATCAGTGGGAGTTTCGCTATTAATTTCAATCAGGCAATGAGCCTCTCCCAAGAAATTAAGGTTAGTTTTAGGGCAGTCAGGCAAGGGGGGAACACCACAATGTTGTACTGTTCAGCTTCTTGTTGTTAGGGAATTTGGGTTGTTTTATTGTGCCATTGTTCATAGCTATCTGTTTTGTGTTTTCTTTGCTCAGATGCTTCCAATAAGGAGATTCTGGGGTGGTTCTGAAAAGGTTTTCCTTCCTCACCAGTAAAACATGTAGGGTTAACCCTATAAAAATGTAATTGTTTAGTTATGAGGTAGTAAAGAAGAGTTTAGAATAGACCAATTATTTCAATATATCCTTATGGTACTTCCCTAAGCAATGAAATATTTTATTCCTTTTATTTTACACTGAGACATGAAACAAACACTTTCTACAATGTGCCACTTCTAAGCAGCAGCACTACACCTAAACATATAGGCTATGTCTAGACTACAAGCCTCTTTCGAAAAAGCTTCTTTCGAAAGACAGCATCTAGACTATAAGCAAATTTTTCGAAAAAGCGAGCAGCTTTTTCTTTGCTCAGATGCTCCCAATAAGGGAGCTGCTTTTTTGAAAGAGAGTCTAGACGCTCTCTTTCGAAAAAGCATAGTTTGCATTCTTTTCGAAAGAGTACTTCCTTGTAAATTGAGGTTTACCACGATCGAAAAAAATGCCACTTTTTTCAATTTACTTTCGAAAGAACGCGGCTGCAGTCTAGATGCAGGTGAAATTTTTTCAAAAAAAGGCTACTTTTTTAAGAAAAACCCTGTAGTCTAGACACACTCAGGCTGTGTCTACACTGGCAAGTTATTCCGGAAAATCAGCCGCTTTTCCGGAAAAACTTGCCAGCTGTCTACACTGGCCACTTGAATTTCCGGAAAAGCACTGATGAGCTAATGTAAAATCATCAGTGCTTTTCTGGAAAAACTATGCTGCTCCCGTTCGGGCAAAAGTTTTTTTCCGGAAAACTGTTCTGGAAAAGGGCCAGTGTAGACAGCACAGTAGTGTTTTCCGCAAAAAAAAGCCCCGATTGCGAAAATGACGGAAAAGCGTCCTGCCAATCTAGACGCGCTTTTCTGAAAATGCTTTTAACGGAAAACTTTTCCGTTAAAAGCATTTCCGGAAAATCATGCCAGTGTAGACGTAGCCTCATAGTATACATTTCCATTTGCTCTGCCCATCCCCAGCCATGAAGGCATAGGAGATTCGTGGTAGCATTTGGGAGTTGCATCCTCCCACTTCCCCCAAAAAAATTTTAATTGCTAAGTCGGGTGTCCCACATGCCCCTTCCCTGCCCCTCTGGGTGGCCCTCTTTGCCCTTACCCACGGGCACCAGTTGCCTGTGCCAGATGCAGGAACCACCCACCTGCCATTGCCATGGATACTGCTTGCCTTCATAGCTCTACAGTCACCCCCATACTGTATGCCCCCCTCCACAATTCAACTGCTCACACCCATACTGCAGGGGCACTGGAACCATTTTTATAGTGGGGGATGCTGAAAGCTGTTGGAAACTGGAAACCCTGTGTATAATGAAAAATGTTTTAAGTAGGGATGTAAAAGAGTAGTCCAAGTGTTGACTACTCACACTCCCTCCCATCCCTCTCCCCCCCCCCCCCCCCG